TGTATGTCCTTCACAAACTTACAATTTTCTAACAGATGTCCTGGGGACAGATGGTTTAATATTTTATAAATAAAAACGAATGTGTTATACATAACAGTCTGTCTAACACTCAATAAATTTGTTGATTCTAGCATATCATTAATTTTTGTGTATCTATTACATGACAGTATAATTCTTAATTGTTACACTTTGGGCAAATGAGATGGATCTAAAGTGTCCTTATAAGTAAATATGTGTTTGTAGCGTTGTCCACGTTTTAAGGAATTTCTGTTGTGTTTAATTTATTTCTGGACCATGGAAAGGAAGATTCCAATGTCGTCTGCAGAAAGACCACTTCAATCTAGACTGCCAATATACAAAACCAATACTCAAGAATTATTACCAAATACTCAAGAAGGAGCGTCTGCTTTGTGCGGTCGCAGAGGGCATAAGGCATTTGTTCCGACTCGCCCGCCTTACCAGACGCTCCAAGTCAGTATCGGACTTAAGCGGGGCTCTCGTAACGAATAAGCCCAAGATAAACATCGCCAGTTCAGCAAGAATGCCATTAGCTGCCACTACTCAAAATAGGCCATTAGTAACATCAAAGGTGAACAAGCCAAAAGTATCGAAAAATATTGCATCTTGGGATTACAAATCGAAATTTCATGAACTCAATGACAAATACCAAGTTTTACAAAATTCTTTCAAAGAATTGGCATCTAAATCAGAAGAATATGACAACCTCCAAACAACGCACGTGGAAACAGAACAAAAGTTTCAGCAAATGATAAAAGAAATTACTTCACTAAAAATGGAAAATTCGTCTTTGAAATCAAAATGTGCAATGAAGCTTCAAGAAGAAAATTTAAAATGCGTATCGGAATTAAAAGCTTGCTTAGACGAGAAAAATGCTATACTGCCAAAATATGAAGAGACCTTAAAAGTTATTGAAAATACTCGCAATGAATTGAGTGCCTCGCAATTGTCTATTGCCAATTTGAAAAACACGTTAATTAAAAACCAGTTGGAGCGACAGAAGACTTGAAAGCTATAGTTTATATATTTATAGTTATTCTTTGTTCCCTCGAAACGGGGGGATTTTGCGTATAATTAATAATAATTTTGCAACTTTAGGCAAAGTTGATGCCTTTGAGTGCGAATAATGCATTTTTGGAGAAGAAAATCGAAACATGTTATTGAAAATTGTGCGCACGTCGTGAACCTGAATTTTTGGAAAAATAATATTTGCGCTCGCTTACTTAAAAGTTCATGTCTCCAAGACTAAAGCAGACAGGCAGTTGCATCTTTTATCGTCTTTAGCAGACACTTGGCCCTATAGACGTGGAAAGTTTCAGACACATCCATCCTTCACCTGATTTTTGTCGGCTTTGTAAATGTGACTCACAAGATTGATGTCGTACGTCAATTGCGCTCGCTTACTTAAAAATGTGCATCTCCCAAATTAAAGCATGCAGGGAGTTGAGTCTGTTACCATCTTTAGTGGACAGTTGACCCTATTCAAGAGTTCAACTACCGATGGGGGTGCTGCGAAACGTCAGATTACTCGTTGCCGAGTAACAGTTGAGACTTGTCAAGCTTGTCTGTCTATTGGAGTCAGGAAACAAACGAAAAGTGAGAGTTGCAATTGTAACAAAAATTAATGTGAATAAATGACCTGAAAGGAAAAAGACAAAATGAAAAGCTTGAAAAAGTTAATTAGAACGGAACAAATCCAACTAATGTCAACAAAACAAGTGTCAAATGACAAGTTAACATGTAATTATAATTTTGGCCACTAGGGAGATTTTGGACTTATCTCGCGAATACGTAAATTTTTGACAAACTATTCGAAATTCTCAAATTGCCTAAGAGCGTTGAATTTTAGTGTGCATTTCCTAGAATTTTGGAAAATTTTGCCAAAGATTACAGGACAAAACTCACTCTTTTAGACACGCACAGGCAACACTATCAACAATAAACGCATTTGAAAATAAATAATTCCAAATCAAAATTAATTCCTGGGTTTCAGTCATTTATTGTCTTTATTTATCAATTAACAATTATTAATAAAAAAAATTCATTTTTTAACTATGTTATTTTAGAAAAACTAATGATGGTGGAAAAATACACCGAAACGTATTTTAATTGATAAATAAAGGCAATAAATGACTGAAACCCAGGAATTAATCTTGATTTGGAATTGAAACACAGTCAGGAAAGTATATACAAAATAAATAATAATATTCTATTTCGTAGCTCAGCCCCGGTCGATTGATCACAAACTGAACAAGTGATTAAGTGAACTTTAACAATATAAAAACTGATTAATTACACATTGAATTTTAAGGTTGGTTGGTTTACTAGTGTCAGTTTCCTGTCAAATTCAGACAAAACCAGTTTACTTCTTCCAGTCGTCCTTCTCGTAGTCCCATTTGGAGGAAATACCCTGGATGGGGTTGATTTGCAAGTCGAGAATACGCCGCAACTGGGCCGCCCTGTTCTCCGGTGAGAAAGAGCTTGGCAGAGGTGGGTACACTGTGGAAACCGAAATTCACTAAGTTCCATCAAAGGAGTTCGGCTGGAAATCCGCGTTTCTTACCGAAGGCCTTCAATCCATAGATGACCCAAAGGGCGCACGATATCAATACCAAAGTGACCCCGATTGTGCCCTTCCATTCACCAGTGGGCGCCTTAAACTCGGCAAATGTCTGTCGGAAAGAGGCCCTGTAAAGGGCCTTTTTCTCCTCGACGGACAGCAACTTCCAGTCGCCCTTCTCCTTCTCTCGGAGCGCCTATAACAGCAAGTCTCCTTCTTTTTCAGACTCCCCACACCTCCTGACACGGCTTACCAAAATGTCAGCATTGGGTTCCTTCCATCTGATGGCGGGCAGCGGAAAGTCCACTCGGTCCACGTAGTTGGGCTCTCCATTAAACCCATACCCTACCACTTCGCGCTTACCAATCAGTGTCTTCACGTATGAGCTCATTGGAGCTGCTCCAGGCCTCACGATAGCATTATTGAGGAGCTGCTTGCAGCTGAGCGCCAGCAGGGTGTTAGCCATTATGAATTCCTGCAAGAAACCGGGTTGATTACATAAGACGTAGAAATATGTGCCTGAAGAGAGTCGAGCCCTAAAGAGTATGGGGACTAGATTAGGAGCAAAATATGGATGCTTTCAGTAGGCTAGGAATCCGGACTTTGATTACCTAAGAGGGTAAGCCTGCATGATTAGGTTAGGAGCTGGATGTGGAGAATTTAAAGAATCCGGTAGGGAACAAGAGTGACAGACGAAAGGGGCCAGTATTTCCAGTAGTAATAAGTGTTTTTTGCAGTCGTTAAAGGGCCAAAGTCGCGTAAATTAAAGGATTAGCACGGACTTACCTGCGTAAAATCACAAAGATGGCTGCTGTGCTGCTGATGTTGTAATTCGATTCGTTGGTGGGGATGGGCGGATACTAGTGTCGATAAGCTGCGACCCGAATCGACAGTTATTATACGGGGTGTCGTCACAAGGTGCCACCAACACTTAACGAGGCAACTCTACAGCGAAAATGAATGCTACACGTTCCTAGAACAATAATAACTCGTCTGCAGGGCGTTAAAGTTTAATAAATTAATATTAATAATAATTTTTTATAATTTAATCAACTTTGTACTTATTAGCTGATTAAATATTTAACAAATAATAATTAATTCTAAGGGCACGTGCTTCCATGGCAGGCTCTGAGTAATTTAACGTGCTTTATTACTCACAATTTCAAASGTAGACTTTTTCAAAAACTGCTCATTTTAGAGACCACGTGAATCTTTTTAACCCAACCTCGAGAGCCCGTGGTTTTTTAAACTTTTACACAATAATGTAAATGATCATGAGTAATAAGTGTGCCAAATTTAAAATCTATCGGCTAACTAACAAAAAAGGTATTTCAGAAAAACAGTTTTGAAATTCTAACTTTAGCGCTCTCTATATTCGTTATTATTGGGGTTTCCCAAAAGTGTTATAGGAACTTGTCACACTCATTTTTTCCTTTTCTGACCTCCCTGTAGATAGCAACCTTCCGCTAATGTTTAAACGTTATTAAAAAATATAAATTAAAATAATAAAAAATACGAGGAGACAAATAATGCAACGAAAGACGAGAGCAAAAAAGAGACAGAGTCTATTTATTCTGGTTGGTTAATGTTGGGTGTTATCAAGTGAACGCATAAAAAATAATTAATTAATTGATATACAGTTATTTCTTATTTTAATTTATACTATATTGTATTGTTCAGGAAGGTATTACCAATGTATTCATGATTTTTGCAGTTAACGCAGTAATGTTTACGCTTCGCAGCGCCCCCATCGGTAGTAAAACTCGCTAATTCTACTCCAAATTCTAAATATATTTTATATACAGTATTCTATACCTAGGTCTTTGGTATACTTATTTAAAAGTTTATGTAAAAAATGACACTTGCAGGCACTAGAATAATTGTTCATTTGTTCTTTCAGGAAATATGTGTTATTTAATTTGAGTTGCATTTCTTGCAGAAAAGGACTTATTTTAATACAAAATGTGAAAAAATAAGTTTTAAAACGAAAATGAGAAATCGCCCAAAATCATTTTTTTCAGTTCGCAGCCCCCAATTTTGATATAATATAACAATATAAGTGTAAATTTTTCAAAAGTCTAATTTTCGGAATATTGTCGATTTATTGTTCTCATATGGCTTTTTGCTGCGAATTTTAAATGTTACTCACTCTTACTTGCCAGTAAGTTAATTGATAATAATAATAATAATAAGAATAATTAGAGCTACACAAGTTTTGTCATCGCATTTAGGACGTTGCAATTAAAAATTGTGAAATAATTTACAATTCCTTATAGAAATAATTAATTATTATTCTAGTGCTTGCAAAAAACTATCGTTTCTGACAACAAATTATGAAAAGATATTATACACGAAATATATTTAGAATTCGGAGCAGAGTCCAAAAAGTTAATAATATAAGGTGATCAAATAAAAATAATCAACTTGGTACCGACTTCCGTTATAACAAAAAGTGTGGCCTTCTTGAAAATATTTTCGATCGCTTGCCCCCATTGACTTCCTCGACTGTTTAATATTAATTAATAAATTAATTGACTTTTAGATCTTTTGTACCATGCTAACTAGGTTTTTTTTAACAAATTGGAGAGTATTCTGCTCCGTTTTTTTTTCAAATTTCTTCTCATTTTAGCTTTCTTTATGGGACTTTCTCGATTTTCTCTATGTATAGTGGATTTGGAACGTCCTCCATTGGTAAAGTTTTACCAATTTACCGATAGCTTCTCCAAGGAGTGTCAACTTTACGTACGTGCCACATTGTTTTACATTTTAAGTCTTGAAGAGCACAGTTCAAGAACTAACCACAAATCTAAGGCCCACAAAATGACATCATGAGATGTTTGTCAACAATTATTCGTCGGAATGCGTGGTTGCAGCTATAAAAGAAGCGTCGTCTTTAAACTGTGTGCCTTTTGAAAAGTATTTTAWCTTTACGAATCGTCATTAACACTCCCATTTTGTATCCTACCAACTATGTTTCTACGAAAGATGCGATTTATCAAGATAAGTGCAAATTGTTGGCAAAATGTGATTGAAATTGGGCAACTTTCAAGTAAATTCGCAGCAATCCGACAATGCTGCATCAGCTGAGCATGTGTCACTTGCAGAGCTGACAGACATAGATAAAGACGAGTACGAGCTGACAGAGACAATAGTGATCTTGTAAAGGTTGTGTTTTTGGTTTTTGGTGTTGTTATCGTATTAGTTGTAAAATCTAAGGCACTTTTTGGAGACTTTTATATGGAAATCAGCTGGTATTGAAGCGCCCGAACCTCCACACGTAAGGTGAGCCCATTTGCAGTATGTTTAAGCATTGAGGGGCACGGTTCTCGATAGGCTCGCTGGTCTCGTCGGTTTATTTATGGATGTGCTGCCTTATCAGGATGTCAAGCCAAAAAAAGCTCTTCATTATTCATTTTATCATCTTGCCACAACTGGAGTACCGTCTTGCATACTTAATCAACTCGCCGACAAGCACACACTTTCGTTTTCACTGTGCGAATAGTTTTGAGTCGTTTCCAGTGCTCCTAGTTGGCAAACCAGTATTTTTGCTGTTTTAACAATGCATTTTGTGAGGAATTTGCAAAAAATCCAACAAGATCTGGTGCATCTAGTCTGGTGCGACTAACAAGTCATTGGTATTTTTAGAATGAAAGAGAATCCTTCACTGGCTTAGTCAGTGTTTTCATTTTGTGGCGGCTAAAAATGTAGTAGAAAACAAGCAGCAAGTGATCCACTGCTCGACAAACGCGGAATGTCTTTGTAGGCTGGGCAGTTAATGGGAAATTGTTATTTTCAGATGGCCGCCACTGTTAACGAGCTTTGGGTGTCCTGGTTCAGTTGTTGTGTGCAACAGCCCCAGAAAAGGAGGCACCGGATCGACCGGTAAGTCCAGTCTTTAAACCATTAAAAACCACTCAAACGTGAGGAATTTTAGGTCAATGATAGGAAATCCCACGAACTTTGTCCACACTGGACACATAGGGAGTAGGGACGTGGAATTGCCGGGGGAACAACAAATTGCCTTACAGAACCAAATGAGGAGTAAAGGCGGCTATGAGGCACCTTACAAGGTGAGTAATATCACATTAATCGCTAGTCGTTAAATAGAACAATGCTCGCGATAAAGATTTGATTTTGTCAAAGGTTGAGAGTTTGCTATTTTCAGGAAGCGCAGTGGTGCCAATAATGGAGCCACCGGACCGCTAGCCTACCATAAAAAGCAAAGCGGGTTTATAGAACTTTGCCCTTTCAAATTTCGCTCCAATCAGCCTCATGGAGCTTATCTTCCAAGCCTCCACTGAGCTCTGTTGCGGCTCGAATCCCCTCAGGGTCTAGTTCTATAAGCCATGTTTTCTGCGCCATTGTGTGCAATAATTCAGTAACTCTTAGCTACAAAGTGCGCATTTAACTGTATTTCAGTCATTCGGACTTGTATTATTATTGTTTCGTTTGATTTAAGATTGCTTTAAATTATTGACTTGCGTCAGGATTACGACCGATTGTCGACTGAGGTCTCGTTTGAAAGGGGCGACTGTACATATTATTTATATTTTACTTGTATGTATCTGTATATTATTAGAACGGGGCCCCGATTTGGGCCTGTTTTGGTAGCTAAAATACCAGCGGTAATTTAATTCTAAGTTCCAGGCCCAATCCGGCTCTGATCGCCGTATGTGAAATGAGATTGGAGGCCATTTTTTTAGTTCTAAAATTAGTTTTCCCCAGCGAATTGCTTTAGTATTAAAAGTCTTCACGGAATTTTTCAAGACTGTGATTCTGTATTTCCACCTTTCTTTTAGATTTCTACTACAATGCATTTATTTTAGTTTTGTACACGGTGCCAAAAAGAGCCAGAGAGATTTAGTTTACGTTTATCTATTACTTAGCTCCCTTACGGCTTGTTGGGTTTTTTTGTATTGTACATATTGTTTACGGTTGTTTCAATTGAAGTCTCCTGATTTTTGCTCACTTGTATTGTTGGCTTGCTTCTTTCGCAGCGTGAACGCTTAAGTTACTGTTGTTTTATTTAATCTGAGAGTGGCTGTTTCCTTCGACTGATTGATTAAACCTGTTGGTGCGCGTCTTCGATTTCCTCTCTACTATGTAGTTGTTGAAATTGGCGTATTTTTGCACAAACTCTAGGTTATTGTTATTTACACTAAAGTAGGATAAACTATTTACTGGTGGCGCACACTTTATCGATTCAATGTCCTTTGATAGAACAATAAGACAACCAACTCAGGTGATTTGTGTCATTTGAAATGGCCTGACTTAGCAAAGTTAGTCCAAGCAATGTTTTGTATCCTAAAAATGTACTTATTATAAATAAATATACATGCAGTTGATTCGGTGGCTGTTCAGTAGGTTAAGCTGATGTTTGCTGTTCCTCTACTAACATTGTCCTCTTAACACAATCCGCCATCCTTCATTGTTTTCATTACTGGTACTTGCAAAATATTCCCAGACAAAAATTTTCAGTGCATTTAAGGCTGAGTATCGTCCGACTTTTCGGAAGAATATAACTTACCTACAGAAGCTCTTTTTAAATTGTGATTTTGCGAAGTGTTTTTCTTTGTGAGTACAAGGCAAATAAAGCAATATTTAATTGACATAGTAGTCGATTTTTAGTGTGAATTTGATCAAATTTCCGTGTTATTTGACGCTTTTTGCCAGTTTCTGAAAATTTTCTTTCCATAAGGGACGGCACAACATTTTTCGTCTTCGCCCTGCGGCTGACCGAGAAAATTTTTTTCAAGCCAAACAAAGTCTATTTATTATACCTATATATATTATACCTATATATATATCTTTCCCACATCTAGCTACCTGTCAAGGAATGGTCCAAAAAAAAAATATTTCGCCCAAAAATTTCAGTTGCCAAACTCTTTAGATTCTTGCAAAATTTAACATTTTATTTTTTTTCGCAGAAACCAAGCTTCCTGTCGAAAAAGTTATTGTTGTATAAAATCTCGGGCCGGTCAAGCCCTATCCACTGGTATGCTTTGCATATTTCCAGCCTAGATAGGTTTCGAGAAAATTGGGAAAATATGGTTTTCCAAGAACTGCAAACATCGCCGCAACTAGCAGAGCTGGAATAAACCGACACTCCAGCCGATCGATCGTGTCCATAAAAACGCTGTTATGCACGTTTCCGCTAGGATCAATAATAAGCTAGAAATCGTCAACTTTCCAAAATCATGGAAAATTTGCGAAATTTTTTCTACTTTGGCGATGTAAAATTTTGGTCAAAATTTGACATGAGGGCCCTTTACTGGTCCAAAGCAATCCATTACACTGGAAAAACGACTTGGAAAAGAATCATCTCCAGGTATGGCACCTATGACGTCATGGCGGTACAGGTTAAATGGAAATTTTCCACAGGCTTGGAAAACTTCTAATTTTTAGAGCGTTAGAGCGTGGAACTTTAGATTCTTGCAAAATTTGATATTTTATTTTTTTTCTCGAAAACTAAGATTCCTATCGACAAAATTTATTCTTTATGAAATCTCGGCCCGGTCAAGCCCTATTCGGGTACGCTTCAGATTTCCAGCCTGGATAGGTTTCGAGAAAATTGAGAAAATATGGTTATCAAAAATCTGCAATGATCTCCACAACTAGCAGAGCTGGAATAAACCTTGTTGCGTCGGGGAGTAACTGGAAAAGCACGAAAATCGCTGGACAATGTCGACATTGGCGATAATGCCGAAGAATAGCCCGCACTTTGGTTTGTTATTTCCACCAAGGTTCGGCTGGAATCCGTAGAAGATCCTTATGTAAAAAATGTTTTTGTGCCGTGGCTCTGGGTTGTCCCCACCAGAAGGGTCACCGCCCACCGGTCGTTGCGACATTAAGTAGCCCAGTAAATGGGGTGTAAAAGTTCGATAACCGCGAATTCATTCTTACGATTTTTTAAGTCTTTT